CTGCCGATGACTCAAGCAAGTCCGTATGCCAAGCCGACTGTAGGAAGTGTTTCCGATGTCTCCAACCAGGGAATAAGTCTAACGAGCGCCCGCAACGACGGAAGGTCAATCTTACGGATTATGAGGGAGCTAAGGATGGACACACATCATCTGAAGAAGAGTACGAGGAAGAGGTTGCCGAGATTGAGGACGATAATGTGTCGTGTGTTGTTCAATGACTCCTATGCGCTCAGAAGACACCAGATTCATCACAACGACACAAATTTTTTTTTCTAGATGTTCAATCAACAACAAGGTGTGCACTCTCATCATTGATAATAAAATCTGTAAGAATATTGTCAAAGGCCTTAGTGAATCACTTGAAACTGCTGACCGAGACCAAACCTGTGCCTTATACCATCGGATGGATCAAGAAGGATCCCTCCGTGAAGGTGATCGAAATATATCGCGTGCCACTATCACTAGGCAAGACTTATAGTGATTTTGTTGCTTGTGATGTTGTGGTTATGAACACGTGTCATGTATTGTTGGGACGGTCGTGGCAGTATGATGTTGACGCTAAGCATGACGGCAAGAAGAACGAGTACTCTTTTGTGTAGATGAATAAAAAGATCATCATACCACCTATTACACCCTCTCCAAAGAGCCCCAAAGATCAAAATTCCAAATGTTTATCTCTTTGTAACAAGGGAGAGTTTCTAGCCGAGTCAAAAGAGTTGAAACAGAGGTTTGTCTTAGTAGTGAAGGAGGAATTAAAGATGCCCATGGAGGTTCCAGAGAAGATGAAGTCGCTACTTAAGGAGTTCGAAGTGTTGATTCATGAAAAGCTACCCGAGGGTCTTCCTCTTATGAAGGATATTTGGCACCATATTAATTTTATTCTGGGTTCAGTGCTTCCTAATCTCCCTCATTATCGTATGAATCCGCAGGAGAAGAAGATTTTACATGACACCATTAAGGACCTTATTAAGAAGGGTCACATCCGAGAGAGTATGAGTCCATGCGCAGTTCCGGTCCTGTTGACACAAAAAAAAAGATGGGAGTTAGAGGATGTATGTGGACATTTGAACCATTAACAAGATTACAATTCGCTACAAATCCATCGGCTAGACGACATGTTGGATCAATTAGGAGGCGCGAGCATCTTTTCGAATGTCGACTTGAGGAGTGGCTATCATCAGATCCAAATCCGACCCGGTGACGAGTGGAAGACTGCATTCAAGAGTAGTGAGGGCTTCTAGAATGGTTGGTGATGCCTTTTGGGTTGTCAAACGCTCCAAGCATATTTATGCGTTTGACGAACCAAATTCTGAAGCCTTTCTCGGGAAGATTTGTAGTCGTCTACTTTGATGATATTCTCATTTATAGCCGAGATGAACAGAAGCATATGTTATATCTCCGAGAAGTCTTCCAAGTGCTAAAGGAGAATAAACTTTACATCAACCTTAAGAAATGTGTGTTCTTGACGACTTAACTTGTGTTCTTGGGATTCGTGGTAAGCTCGCGAGGGATCCAAGTCGACGAGGACAAAGTTAAGGCAATCAAGGATTGGCCGACTCCAACAAGTGTTACAGAAGTAAGAAGCTTTCATAGGATAACATCTTTTTATCGGCATTTCATTCGCAATTTCAGTTCTATAGTTGCTCCAATGACGGATTGCTTGAAGAAGGGTGTTTTCGAGTGGACCGATGAAGCAAATGCAGCTTTTGTCTTTATCAAGGAGAAGATTATCACTGTACCTATCTTAGCATTTTCGGATTTCGACAAGCTCTTTGAGCTTGAATATGATGCGTGTGGTGTCGGTATTTGAGCAGTTCTCTCTCAAGAGAAGCACCCCATTGCATTCTTGAGTGAGAAGTTGAGTGAAGCCCGGTAAAAGTGGAGTACTTACGAGCAAGAGTTGTATGTTGTTTTTCGTTCTTTGAAGACTTAGGAGAGTTATCTCATTGCTAACGACTTCGTGATTTACTCTGATCATCAGTCTCTTCAACACTTCAAGAATCAGAAGCATATGACAAAATGCATGGACGTTGGGCTTCATACTTTGAACAGTTCAATTTCAATTCGCGACATAAGTCAGGAGTCGACAATAAGGTGCCCGATGCTTTGAGTCGACGGGTATCTTTATTAAGCATATTACGAGGTAAAATTGTTACTTTTGATAGTTTGAAAGAGCTTTATGTTGATGATGAAGATTTTCAGGAGGTTTGGACAAAGTGTTTGACAAGACAACCCACAGGAGACTTTATTATTATGGACGGCTTTCTGTTTGAAGGAAATCAGTTTTGTATTCTAAGGACGTCATTAAGAGAAAAGATAGTTCGAGACACATGGTGACGGGTTTGGTGGACACTTTGGACGAAACAAGACTGTTTTGGGTATTGAGGAGAGATACTATTAGCCGAGTTTGAGGAAGGATGTAGCTACACTTGTGAGGAGTTGTCAAGTGTGCCAAGTTACAAAGAGACAAGTGCAGAATACTGGTTTGTATACTCCTCTACCTGTGCCCAAGGATATATGGGAAGATTTGAGTATGGAGTTTGTGTTGGGACTTTCCCGAACACAAAGAGGCATGAATTTAGTCTTTGTGGTAGTGGATCGATTTTCTAATATGGCTCACTTCATTTCATGCCGTAATACTTCGGATGCACCACATGTTGCACGACTGTTCTTTTAAGAAGTGATTCGACTACATGGTGTTCCTAGTTCGTTTGTCTCGAATAGGGATACTAGGTTCTTGGCGATTTTTTGGACTGTTTTATGGCGACGATTTGACACTTCATTGAAGTATTCTAGCATAGCACACCCTCAAACGGATGGACAAACAGAAGTGGTCAATCGTACTTTGGGAAACTTGATTCGATGCATATATGGAGAGAAGCCAAAAATGTAGGATCAAGCTATACCTCAAGCTGAATTCGCCTACAACATGATTGTTCATAGTTTCATAAGTATGTCTCATTTTTCTATTGTTTACAGGAAGACACCTCGACATCTCCAAGATTTGTTGAAGTTGCCGACAAGTTGCAAGTTCAGCGAGGCAGCAAATTCAATGGTCGAGAATGCTATCAATATTTAGGAAGAAGTGCGTACAAAACTTGAGAAAGTTAATACAAAGTTCAAAGCGCGAGCGGACAAGAAGAGGCGACTCAAGGTGTTCAATGAATGAGATATTGTGATGGTTTACTTACGGAAGGAATGAGTGCCAGCTGGAACATACAGGAAGCTTAAGCCGAAAAGATATGGACCATTCAAGATTCTCAAAAAGATCAATGACAATGCATATGTAGTGGATCTTCCAAAAGGAATGACAATGTCTAAGACATTCAACGTGACAGATATTTCTGACTATCATTCTTCAATCGAATTGTATTCAAATGATGCGAACTCAAAGACGAGTTCTTTCGAAGGAGGGACTGATACAGGAGATCTACAAGACGAGACGACTAAACAGATGGACGAGACGAGACGAGACTCAAACCAGACGAGACGACAACAAACTAATAGGCGAGTCGAGATGACGACTCGAGGCGAAGCAACCCAGCCGAGACGAACAGACGACTCGAGGGGACAGGACGAGACGACAGGTGACATGACGAGTCAACACATGCCAGCCGACATGAAAGGCGGAACCACTCGACATACTTAGTCGACTCATGTCCAGTCGACACGAAAGGTGGTACTACTCGGCACGCCTCGTGTCGACTCGAAAAACAGATTAGGAAAGGAGTTCGTTTTTTGTTATTTCCTTTTAGAATTAGAGTTTCTTTTTTATTAGAGTTAGGATAGATTTATTTGGCTTTATATAATAGTTTCTTTTGTAAATCAAACAATTAACTTTCAATTATTCAATCAAGAGAATTTTTCTCCTTGTTTTCGTTCTCAAATTTGAAAAACTTAGAGCTTGTGGATTCAAGCTCGTGAATTGCCTGCTATTGTCAGGCTGGTCGACATCGGAACGATATCCGATCGGCCTCCCCATTTCTACGTCTGCGCCATAGGGACCCAATTCATGCCTCGCCATCAAACACCATTTACACATTTTTCTTTGAATATTTATGTACTTCTTATAGTCAGCTATTCATATACCGAAAAGGTATTTACCAAAAAATCAAATTTTGTGGGAATTATCGGGAACTAATACTCGCACAGTGCACATCAACTCATGTTGTGCAAATGGGGTTTCCCTTTACTATATCAACTACAATTTTTCAAAGAAAGAACAAATTCGTCACGGTACCAAACAAAAAGGGAGAGGCTGTGGTTAATTACTTGCTGGGGTTTCGTCGCTGATAGCCCACGCCGGGGGTGCGAGAACTGACCCTCTTTTTGTAGGAAAGAGTCGGCGCCGGCGGCGTTGTTTTCGTCGGGACCACGGGTGTCCCCCCGGTTCCAAAGCGAAGGAGAATCCGTAGGTTGGAGGTAGCCATTGCTGCTTCTTCGAGCAGAACGTAGGCCAGTTCGGCTTCACAAAATCACCAATCAGCAGCTGGCCCTTTTTAGCTCGCTACTTGGGCGGCGAATGGAACCATTACCTACAAACTATGTATGGGCCTGGCCCAAAATAGTAATTTCCAAACCCCCTCTTTCCACACACCAAAAAAAAAAAAGAAAAAGGCAAAAAAGGGAAGATGCACTACTCAATATATCCTGTATGATATAAGGGTAAATTACACTTAAATACCCTAATGTTTGTTACTGATGTTACAAAAACACCATAACTTTTGTACATGTTCACTAAAATACCCTAAGCTTCTCAAAAGTATCACGTTGATACCGTCCGTTATGTCACTGATTATGGCAAGAAGTTAATTATAGAGGTAAGTGGATATTTAAAGGAGTTTAGGATCCCTTGATCTTCCTTGATACCTGACCAATCAAGAGGAAGTAGATTCACACATAAGTAACACCCGTTAGAGAGCTAGAGATGATCTCTCCATTGTGCACTCCGATGATCAAGTTAGTGATAGATTAAGAAAATTGTAAAATGTAGAATGTAGTTTGTTTAGGGTGTTATCTAGCGTACCTTAGAGTTTGTCCACTATTTACAAAAGAGCTTTGTGGGGGCACGTTGGTAATTTGACTAGGTCGGTGCAATTAGTCGGTCCTACTGCACTTTACACGTGTCATCAGTCAATTGTATGAGTCACATTTACGTTTAATGTGATAGTGGCAGAATGGTTGAAGTGTTAGCGTCGTCCAAGGAGTCATTATGGCTTAGGCCTAAGGGGTCATAATGACTCTGCCCATGCATTAAATGCCATGGAGACTGGGCTACAAAGCTGATAGGTTATCGTTATTCAAGAAGTCTGAGTACAAGATGTCTTTCGTCTCAAACTTGAATTCCTTTAGCAAGTTCCTGCTTGAGAACTCCATTTGTCTTAGACTCAGGTTGCTAGAGAAATTGGTGGCGCTTCCACCCAGGTCGGGCTTTCAGATTATAGGACTCGACCAGATAATTATGACATGTGATTAGCTCTCAAGAGTTCATTAGACTCAATAACTCTCATGATATAATAGTTACCATTAGAATGTACTAGGAATATTCCCTTTTTAGCTGCCACATGTTAGTATGGTGTTGTCCTCTATCCCTAAAATTTATCAAATTTATCTTCTACCAACTTCCTATATCAACCATATTTCTTCCCTAATTTGACCTAAAACTCATATTTTGCATTATTTCTCTTCAATCTCTTTGCAGTTGACTACGAAGGAAAGCTCTAGAAGCTCAAGCTATGCATCAGGCATGGTATTGCTGATGAAAAAGAGTATAAGTGCATCTGCCAATCAACAGCTCCTCTAGAAACTGCTTGGACCAAAGAAAGCTATAGTCATAGGTTCTTTAGTTGCCCTACTATCGAACGGTTGCAAAATACAAGTACTTAGAAATGAAAAGATAAAGTCCTCAAGCTCAATTTGTCATTATATAGCAAGTTGCTAGGTGAGAATGAGGAGGTTGGATATAAAGTAAAAAGTGAAGATAAGGTAAAATTGAAGATCTTGGAGGAGAAATTTCGTGAAAATGAAGAAGCATTTGAAGAGTAGGGAATGAAATTGGAAGAGTTTGAAGTTAATTTGAGAGAGAGAGAGAGAGAGAGAGAGAGAGAGAGAGAGAGCAAAAGAAAGAAAAATGGGCAAAATTGAAAGTTTATCAATAGAAGAACTTAGTTATGATGATTGCTATGTTTTTGGGACTAATATTTATGATATCTATGATCACATGTATGTGAAATTGAGTGAGTGGTAGTTAAACCTTATTACTGTGTTGTAATTCAAGTTTGCAATGATATATTCGGATATTATGTTTACTAAATTTTGTAAATAATTTTGCTATAGTTTGTTTGTTTTGTCAACTTCGGCCTCCATATCAATAATTGAATTGAAAATGCTTGAGTTAATATTTTTTTTTAAAAAAATTACAAGAATTTTGCTTTTTTTAATCATGTTTGAACCATGTATTATATGTCATCATATTTCACTTGAATTGGCAACATAAAACAACTAAATTTTGCAAAGATATGTGCAAACAATGAGCAAGATCATCCAATTATCAAAACAATACAATTATCACAGCTATCCAAATTAATATGACAAACAAACTTTCATAGATGGTTAAAACATAAAACTTGAATAGAAAGTGACCAAAATAAACACATTGTCACCTAACATTGTCACCAAGCTACATATTGTCGAATACACCAACATACATAATGCTTGATATATATATATGTGCGAATACAAGTTTTCCCCATACATACAACAATCACATACATGACCAAAAGGCAGTTTACTTTTTTGGTCACAAAATTATGTGGAAATGCCACCTGCATCAAGCACTTCTGTGCTAGCCCTCTTCTTTTCCTACTTTAACTAGCATAATTGTCATCCTTCTCACCACTGTCTGCAACTTTCATCCTTCCAATTTCCTCATCTACTGTAACAAAATAAACACCACCGCATCACTTGAGGAAAGCTCACTTTACATATGAATAGAATATTGTGACTATGATTAAATGAGGTAATCACCTTCATTACCATACTTAACAGTGTTTAAAAAGGGCATGTAATTGGGGCGTAACTTGTGAGAGAATCTGCTTTATGTGTTGTGATGGTTGTTGATGTGGGGCATATGATGGAGGTTGATGTACTTGAGATTGTGCAAGGGCATCAGGTAAAACATGTGAGAGTGCAGGAGCATCTTCATTCTTCACCCACATTTGATTGCTCTCCAACATGAGGACCATCTCAAAACATACGCTTCTTCTTCCCACCACGCGGCATTACCACAAAGACTATTTATAGATCTCCCACTCTAAATCATCATAACCATCTTCTACTAGGGCTTTTTTTTCCCCCTTCACATTAGCCACATGCTTGACTAATATTACCATAAATGTCATCCTCAAGTTGAATTGCATCAAGCTTTTCATTTTCGTGATCAATATATATGTCCATATAATTCACATGCACCATGCTCATTTAGAAAGTCAGTAAGAGAAGGGGTTATGCTAGGGAAAACTAGCCTTAACCCTCTGTCAACTATGCTAAATGAGTGTTTAACATACATTTTTATAACTAATCACTACCACATAATTGATCTACTGCAACAGTTAAGGCGCAACGGTTTTAACTGTTGCGTTAGAGATCTATCGTAACAGTTTTCAGTGTCTAATACAACATTTAATGAAAAACGTTGCCATAGACCTAATAATTATTCCTGGACTTAATAATTGTTCGTGGGCTTTGTTCAGGAGCTTTAAGTTTGTACAGCCCATTGTCCTCACTGCTTAAACGAAGAATATCATCTCCGATCCCAAAAATCACCGTAAAAAAAAAACCCTAAAATCGTCGTGGCCGTTTCCTCTCCGATCTCATCTCCAATCTCATCACTGAGCTCGTCGCCGTTTTCCTCTCCGATATCATCTCCAATATCCTCTCCGATCTCATCGTTGTCGAGCTTGTTGTCATTCTCGTCGTCGAGCTACCCTTGTTTCAGGTAATTTCTCCCTCCCTGTTTTCTAGGGTTTTCTCCAGAAATCAAGCTCAGATCTCGCTAACGGGAGCTTTCTAGAGTGTGTTTTCAGCAATCAAGCCCGGAAATTTCATCAATTTTGCAACTGATGGCTGCATTCTCTTAAATGTCCTAGTCTTGCGTTTGAAGGGAGTTAGTCAGGTATTTTGCACGTGATTACTTTGAGTTTTTATGAAAATTTGATAGAAGTTTACGGTTATGCTATATATGGGATGTATGATTTTCTTAGTAACCCTCCTGTCTGTAACTTGTGATCGTTTTTATGAAAATTTTGATCCTAGATCTGCTGTATATCCGGTGAACTTCATGAATTTGATTTTTGCAAGATTTTCCCTAGTATGTATGATTTCTGCTTATTTGCAGATAATTTGAAATTTAAAAGCCCAAATCTGTAGTGAATGCCTACCAGACTATATTTCCTCAAGGCCCTGCTCTGTTACTGAAGTTCCACCTGTCATCTTCAGACACTAGAGTCACTGGTCAATGGTATATAGTTGTTTTGTCAGATTTCATGCATATAATTTGTCACTTCTGATCATATTGCATGTGACCTTCCCCCCCAATTAGATAGGATTTGTATATCTTTTTAGTCCAGTTACAGTCCAAGTTAATTATGGGGTAACCTACTTTCATTTATAATCTTTTTTTTATTAAACTAGCATATGATCCGCTTACAAATACAAATCATGGCATGACAACCGCACGAATGTTGATTGAATATATTGCTATTAATGGTAACAAGAGGATTGATTTTTTATTTTATAAATCATAATATTTATATGTAGTTATTAATAGTGTTAATCATTTTTTTCTTTTTCCAGAATATATAATAAATGGCGGAAAATAGAGATTGGATGTATAATGCTCCTAGAGTGAGTGTGGAGTTCATTAATAATGTCAATGACTTTCTTGAGAGAGCATTTGCTAATGGAGCAGTTGGGGATGAAATATGTTGCCCTTGTCGCATTTGCTGTAATCGCTTTTGGTATAGTCGTGATGTTGTTTATAATCACCTTATTGTCAAAGGATTTGTAGAGAATTATTATGATTGGTTCTTTCACGGAGAGGGTGTGTCATCAAGGATGGATGTTGATGACAATAATGAAGAAGTTGATGTTGCTGATGATGCTCAAGACAACCTGGATGGGTTATTGCATGATGTATTTAGAGATGTAGCAGAAGAGTCTCTAGTGAACCAAGAAGATGACCTAAGTGACCATGAAGAAAGGTTAACTAAGGAGGCTAAGAAATTTTATAAGTTAGTTGATGAAGGTAAGCAGCAGTTGTTTCCAGGATGTAAAACTTTTTCTAAACTCTCTTTTATCATCCGGTTGTATCTTCATAAGTGCATCCATGGCCTAAGCAACGAGGCATTTGATGATTATCTAGCCATATGGAGAGAGGCAATTCCTGAAATAAATCTACCAAAGTCTTATTATGAGGCTAAAAAAATTGTGATGGATTTGGGCCTTGATTACAAGAAGATACATGCTTGCCCTAATGATTGCATGCTTTACCGTGGAGAAGATGGAGAAAAAGTTGCTTGCAGTAAATGTGGTGAAAGTAGATGGAAGGCAAATAAGCAGGGTGTTCCAGCCAAGGTTTTAAGGTATTTTCCTTTAAAACCTAGAGTTCAAAGACTATTCATGTGTTCTCAGACTGCTGAATCCATGAGCTGGCATGCAAAAGAGCGCCTCCAGGATGGGAATCTAAGGCACCCAGCAGATGGCAAAGCATGGAAGGATTTTGATTCCAATCATCCTGATTTTGCACTAGACCCTCGTAATGTGAGGCTGGGCTTGGCTAGTGACGGGTTTAATCCATTTCGGACTATGAGCATTTCGCATAGCACATGGCCGGTGATCTTGATAAATTATAATTTACCACCCTGGATGTCTCTAAAGCCAGAATATTTCATGTTGTCTTTGCTTATTCCAGGGCCTCAGTCCCCTGGGAATAATATCGATGTTTACTTGCAACCGTTGATTGATGACTTGAAAGAGTTATGGGAAGTCGGGTTGCTTACTTATGATGCTTCAAGTAAACAACCATTTTATGTTCGTGCAGCTTTACTTTGGACTATAAGTGACTTTCCAGCATTTGCAATGTTATCCGGATGGAGTACTAAAGGGAAGTTGGCTTGTCCTTGCTGCAACTATGACACTTGTTCACAATATTTAAAATACAGTAGGAAAATGTGTTACATGGGTCATCGTCGATTTTTGAGTGATAATCATCCATGGCGGTTAAATAGAAGAAACTTTAATGGCCATGTTGAGTTAGGAAAAAAACCTGAATCATTATCTGGGATAGAGATTGTGGAGGAATTGCATGGTTTTGTTAA